GCCTCGCACAACATAGTCAACGCTCTGATCTTTGTCAGCTAACGTATACATATCTCGCACGTTTGTGTCCTCTTTCTGGGCTTTACAAATTCTTGCAGTCATACCTTCCTCCAATTCGTTTACTAACAAGCTGCAAGGCAAAGGATTTTGACTTAATGTATCAACATGAGTCATGTTTTTTCCCGGACGTCGTACGATCGTATTATCAAGTAATAGCGTCCATCTGGCGACACGCACGCACAAATCTTTTTTTTTCATCGTCAATGCAAATGCTTGACAATCCGTCACGATTTTAAAATTAATTATTAACAAATAAACTCTAAATTTTCGCAACGTTTTTATTATTGCTAGTGCTTTTAGCTCATAACTCGTATATTTTGCTTCGACGTCAGTTGTTTTTTCGCTCGCATAATAAATCGGGTGTAACGCACCATCGTCATCGCATTTTTGAAACAAGATAGCCCCAAAACCGTACATAGACACATCGGTGTGTAATTCAGTTTCCGCTTTTTGTTTGTACAATTTCAACACCGATTTCTCGCTTAATATAAATTTTAATCTATTGAAAGCCTCCTTTACTTTTGTGCCAAACTCGAATTTTGCGTTTGCTTTGAGGAAGTTGCTCAACGATCTAGCTATTAGCGCGTAATTTTTTATAAATTTTCTAAAGTATCCAGTCAGTCCTAAAAAATTTTGAATTTATTTTAGCGTCTTCGGTTGTGGGAATTTCATTACCGCTTCCGTTTAATTCTCAGTCGGGCGTATCGAACCATTTTATATAATGTGTCCCAGAAATTTGACTTCAGTACGTAAAAATTTACACTTCTTCCAATTAATATTTAACCCGAAACTCTCGGCGACACACAAAACTTTCTCAAGGCCCAATAGTGCGGCTTCAAAATTCATAGACGGAATAATCAGATCGTCCACGTAAATCAAAACCACGCCATTTTTAATTAGTTCTCTAAAAATTTGGTTTATGAACCTCTGGAATACCGCCGGGGAATTACATAAACCGAAGGGCGCAAAGAGAAATTCGTATTGTCCGTCGGGAACCACGAATGAAGTGTACCTTCTACTTCCTTTCTCTATCGGCACGTGAAAGAATCCATTTTTCAGATCGATTGTGTTAAATATCGACGCCCCTTGCAATGCATCTAACTGATCATCTATTAATGGGAGTGCGATCTTTAATTATCTTTTTGTTTAATTGTCTGTAATCAATACACAACCTCGTCTTTCCCGTTTTTTTACTAGTACCACCGGACTCGCGTAATCCGAAAGCGAAGGTTGTATAATACCTGCAGTCAATCATTCGTTTATGTGTGCCTTAACCTTTTCTTTTTCTAACGGAGATAAACGCCTAGGTCTCATGTAAACAGGTTCGTCATCCCTAAGCACGATAGTCATCTCAAATTCGGTCTTATTTCTTTTATTAGGATTATATTTCTTAATCATCTCGCTTACATTTTCTCTGCGCTCATTGCTCAAATGAGATAAATCGATATTACTAGACTCGCTTGATAACTTGATTTTAAATATCTCGGGGAGATTATTTATCGCTCGGATCTCCGCACGCGGTTTTCGCATTGTGATTTTTGCCTCTTCGATATATAAATTTACCTTGTCCAACAGATCGATTTCCAAGAGCAGATCGTATTGCAACAAATTATTTGGCACCACCGACAAGCTTATTACAAAACATTCACCGTCAATCTTAATTTTGCTATCAAATTGGCCTATCGTCTTAAAGTTTTGCGCGCCTATCCCGCAAAACACAATTTCTCGCTGTGTCGAATTCGGCGATCTTACTTTTACGTACTGATCTTCGCGAATTAATGATAGATCGCTGCCCGTATCAATTAGCGCGACTAGCTTTTTATTATTAATATTTATATCTTTAAAATATTTACGCTCCGTTCTCGAAATATCGGACATATTTTTAACTTCGTTTAATTTAGTTTTTTTTTTTTCACAATTCGCCGCAATATGGCTAAATTCTCTACATTCAAAACAACGCGTATCTTTCACTTTGGATGGACAATCTGCTGCACGATGTCCTTGCGCTCCGCAATTGTGGCATCGCACCGTGCTCTTCGCCGCCCCAGGTTCCTCTCTCTCGCTGCGTTCCTGGGCGCGCCGGTCTCTCGCACTTCCTTGCACTCCGGGTTGATTTTTCCCGCGCAGCGACACTCTCTCAAACGCTCCGAGTAGCACCTTCTTCGTTCGCAGTTGTTGCACTCGAGCCTGGTTCCGTAAAGCTGGATCCGGAATTCCTTCGATCACGTACTCCACCAATTCGCCTTCCTCCATCTTAATACGGTTGCCCAGGATAACCTTCTGGTGCAAATATTTGTGGAAGGTTTCATCTCTTTGTAAATACGCTGCTCAAACTGTCTCCTCATATATACTTTTCCCGGCTCGTGGAAGAACATATTTTTCAACTGGCGCAACAACTCGTCAACGTCGATTTCAGTATATGTCGGATTAGAGTAAAACCATTCTTGTGCCTTGCCTTTCAGCCTCGCTCCGATCAAAATTTTTGTCAGATCGTCCGTCAAATTATATGCGTTCCTCAAGGATCTGACGCGCTTTTCCCAGGACTCAAACATGCTGCTGTCGCCCTCAAAGTGTCCCAGCAAACTCGCGACTGCATTTTATATTTGTTGTGCTCGACTCGTGGGAGATTGCCGGACTTTTCGTCACCAAGTCGTCTCTCTCGCTGTCCACATTTTGTGCCCGTCTCAATAGCTCGTTCTCCTGCCGCATCGGCTGTAGTTCACGCTTCATCAATTGTTTCTCTCTCCGGCACAGCTCCATTTCTCGTCGCAAATACTCAACATCACGACCATCGGCACTCGATTCGCCCGTCTCCTCGCGATTTTCGCGAGACTCCTCTCGTCTCTCCTCTTCCTCGCTCAGCACCCGTGACATCCATCCGCCCGCTGAGTCTTTCTCAAAGAGTCTGGCTATAAGTTCACTCTTCACGCTAGTAGTCGCCAGGCTCAATTCTCGCAATATTCCTTTCAATTTGTTGACAGTGAACTTGTTTGCATCTTTCTCAGCGCTCGCCATTCCCTCTCGTAGGTCAATTTCGAGCAAAATTCAAAAATTGCGACCGTTTACCGCTCCCCGCAGCGTCAATTATCCTGGCTCGAGCCCCCAAAATTGTGGGAAAGATGAAGCAGTCGAAATAAAGAATCTCTTATGTACTTGAAGAAATTATTTAATTTAAGGTTACTGGTATGAAAATCATGCGAGCACTGTGTCCTCCGCCTGTTTTCCAGTTTATTTATATCCTTCCGTTCGTCTTCAAATTCGTTTCGAACCTTCTCAATCATCTCTTTGTTTTCTCGAGCTTGCCTTCTCAAGCTAATCGTACATTTTATTTTCGAGTTCGTCTTTTCACATAATACACAGGTCGACTTACAATATTTTGTTTACTTGTCGCTTATTGACAGTATTTGTCTTAAGCAAATAGTCGGTTGAGAAAACACTTTTATAATCGCTTCGATCTTACATATATTTGTGCGATATAAAAATTTACAAAATAAATTTATTCCTACATATATATTTATAATATTGTTTATAAAAATAATTTAAATTATTGGAATTATGATAAAAAATGTTTGGCAGTAAAATAAAATAATAAATATGATCACAAAATGTATTACTTTTTTTCAATCAATTTAATTTATAAAAATTTGATAATTTAATTGTAATTATAATGTTATTATAATGTAATTGTTTAAAACTTGGAACAAAGCCGTCGAAAAAAGAAAAAAAAAATATATATATTGTTCTGGTTCCGAGTCAAAGCCAGGGACTCAAGGCTCGACCAACGATCGACTTTGTTTGGCACCTCGAGCGGACATCGACAGGTCAACCGGCCAGCGAATTGCGATTAGCCGCGCGCGTGTCACGCGCCGAGTTCATGCAAAGCTCGTGATTCCGAATCGGTTGTCTTCCCCGAGGTTAAAACGGGAGTTCAGTTAGCCCAAAGACACAGTCGAGAGCACCCAAAGATAAAGCGGTATGCTTGTAACGGATCCGTGATATCCTGTCTTTCTTTGTTCTTGAAGAACGACAATCGAACCTAAATCACGTATTCAATAGTCTATCAAAAGGGTCCGAAGCGTCTGAACCAGATACAGTGTACAAATCTGATATGATACAATAAAATTACTGTTATTAAAATTAAATAAAAAGAAAAACATTGGTCCTTCGAGCCGGATATTTCGTTGACCCGATCATACGGATAATCAAACTAACGCGAGATTCGCGTTGTGAGACGGAACGGGTGAACATTGTCAGTGAGACGTCGGACTGTGACTCCTCGTTTTACAATCGAATGAGTGCAGAAGAAGAGAAGGAAAGACAAAGACAGTGTCGCGTTCGCTATCCAACGGGTTTTTTCTCTGGGCTCACTCACTCTACTTGAGCGACAAGTGGAGTTATCTTCCCGTCGTGGAATTAACTTTAACGAACATTCCCGCGGGAATCTAAATGTTGAGCTTCGCGCCTTATTCGCGAGTTTCATTTACAAGGTTCAAACGCGGGGGTCTGGTGGTGGAAACAATTCGTGAACTCAAAGTCGAAATTACATCGTGTTTCGCGGAACAAAGTGAAGTATTCCGCGAAGGTGTTGCCGTCGGCGTCGATAACACGCCCGGAACATCATACACTGTGCTAATCGAGACTGGACGCGACGATTAAAAGGGAATCGTCGCGAGTTCGTCGCCGTCGGCGTGGCAATTGAACGTCACGACGTTGATTCTTCAGGCACCGGAGAAATCCGCTTGTTGATAAGAAAACATCCGCGGAAAGGTTGCCGTCGGCGCAGCGGTAACGCTCCTCGGCATATCCCGTGTATTCTTAAGCGACATAACAGTGTCGCGATTCGACCGAAAGTCGTCGCGCATTCGTTGCCGTCGGCACCGTGCTCACGCGCCCGGTACCTTCGATCAAGTCACTATTAATAGCTCATTAACGAAGAAATAATGGCAGAATTAAGAAATTTGCTCATCTCGCAAGTTGAAACAATCGACTCGATAAAGCGAGTTCTCGTTAACTTCAAGAAATTAGCGAAAGTTAATGTTACATTAGCAAAGACGCAGGGGCGTCTTGCAACGCTGGAAACGCTTTGGACTTCCTGTCGAGGGCTACACGTCAAGCTGCTGCAAGCCACAACTTCGGAGAAGCAGAAGACTGTCTCGTATTTCCTGAATGGAGACTTCCTGAGCGCCGAGGAGATCTACCACGACACGGCCGACCTCCTTTGCGATACGATAAGTCGATTCTCAATTAATCAATCTCCGTTGTTAGAACACAGTACTGATTCTTCAATTCGCGAGAGCATTCATAATCACAATTTTCAGTTGCCACGGATCTCACTTCCGAAGTTTTCGGGCAAGTTCTCCGAATGGGAGAGCTTTAAAAATACTTTCGAGTCTCTTGTCGCGAGTAATGATTCTCTCTCGAACACGCAGAAATTTTATTACCTCAAAACGAGCGTCATCAGTGACGCTGCCTCAATTATTAGTAATTTAAAGATTTCCGACGCTAATTATGAGTCCGCCTGGCAGTTGTTGATTGACGAGTATGACGATCAACTTACATTGATCCATACTCACATTCATGCCTTCATGTGCCTACCGACAATGAAGGCGGAAAACGTCGCGGAAATGCGAAAGTTGAGAGATACCGTGTCCGCATCTCTAGCGGCTCTCACTAATATAAAGCGGCCGGTACGCGAGTGGGATGACATTCTCGTCTACCTCATCTCTCAAAAATTTAGTTCGAAAAGAAGGAGCGAATGGAATTTAAAAATTTCGTCAAGTCGCGAGCTTCCTTCGTACAAAGATATTCATGAATTCCTCACGCTTCGAATACGAGGTCTGTCGGACTTCTCCGACAATCCTAAAGTAATCGTCAATTCTAAGAGTGACAAAACGCAGTCCTCCGTTCATAATCTTTCCGCGATTAAGTGCATTTGCTGTTCCGGCAGTCATTCGGTAATGAAGTGCGAGGAATTTCGTCGGAAAAACGCGACACAGCGGCATGCAATCGCGCGACAGAATCGGGTCTGCTTCAATTGTTTGCGAGCGGGACATTTCACGTCGAAATGCTCGAGCAAAATTCGATGCACTCATTGTCAACGCTCTCATAACACATTGTTACACAATGAGAGTGATCAAAATAAGGACACAGCGGAAAATTCCCGTTTATCAAATTCGAGCGTTAATGCGTCTACTACCACGAGTAAGACTGTCGTAATCGGCGACGCCGCCGTCGCCAGAGTGCAAACTCAAACCTCAGAATACCACGATGCCCACCGTTCTTCTCGCGACCGCGTGGGTTGACATACACACTTCTGAAGGAATATGTTTTAAGGTCCGCGCTTTATTAGATCAAGGGTCTAATTTTAGCTTTATTTCCGAAGCATTGAGTCAAACGCTTTGCACTAAACGACAGAGGACCGATCTTCAAATAAAAGGTTTCGGGGAGAAATATGCCGGTTCTGCGCGATCGAGAGTTTCGCTAAATTTGACGCCGTGCGAAAAATTGAATCCTGTTTTTCCGGTCATTGCGTATGTATTCCCGCGAATAACTTCGTACGCCGCGTCGCGAATTCGGCCTATAGAATCATGGCCTCATTTACAGGGCCTTTCACTAGCAGATCCGGATCCATCTAGTCGACATCAGATTCACATGCTGATCGGCGCGAACGTGTACGGTTCGCTATTATTGCGCGACCTGAGACAGGGCTCCTATGGAGCGCCCACTGCCCAATCGACCGCGTTCGGTTGGATAATCTCTGGACCGACCGGAAGTAAAGAAACTACTTCACAAGAAGTAGCTGTTTTGAATTGCGTATCCGCGCTGGATGTAGACTCTCTCCTCCAGAAATTCTGGGAGGACGAAGAGATTCCCACGCCAACTCCCCTCACGGAGGAGGAGGAAAAATGCGAATCTCATTTCGCTCAAACGCACAGTCGTGATCCTGACGGTTGTTATGTCGTGAGATTACCCTTCAAAAATGCTTTGCCGATCGATATCGGGGAATCTCTTTCCATAGCGCGTACATTATACGGTCGTCTGGAAAATAAATTGAATTCAAAATCCGACCTCTGTTCGCTATACAGAGACTTTCTTACAGAGTACGAGGCTCTTGGACATATGACTCGCGTTGGCGAGTCCGAACCCACTGAGAATATACCGATTTATATTCCCCATCATCCAGTAATGAGAGAGGATAGTTGCACCACAAAGCTTCGAGTCGTATTTAACGCGTCGTGTAAAACCCGGAATGGCACGTCACTTAACGACCATTTGCTCATCGGGCCAAAGTTGCAGCAGGATCTCCCTGCCGTCTTATTGCGTTGGCGTGCATGGCGCTTGGTTTACACGGCAGACATCGCCAAGATGTTTCGACAAATACGCGTGCATCCGCGGGACGTCGATTACCAAAGAATCCTGTGGCGTCCGACGGATGACGCTCCGCTTACTCACTTTCGCCTTCTTACAGTGACGTATGGTTTAGCATCGGCACCTTATCTTTCGATGCGCGTGCTTCGACAGCTCGCGCTTGATGAAGATGCAAATTATCCTGCCGCGGTACCGATCGTCAATGATTCCATTTACGTGGACGACGCATTGTTCAGAGCAAACGATATCGATTCGTTAATAAATACGCGAACTCAGCTCGCTGAGCTAATGAAGCGCGGAGGTTTTTCACTTCGTAAATGGGCTTCAAACTGTAGCGAGCTTCTTGACGATTTATCCAGCGATCAATCGGACGTTACCGATCACCTCATCCTGAAGGACGAAACGTTGAAAATACTCGGATTATCATGGCTCCCTACGGAAGACTCCTTCTGCCTTACTGTGAAATTTAATTTTCCTACCGCGTTAACTAAGCGTTCAATCCTGTCGTGCATCGCGAGCTTGTATGACCCCCTCGGATGGGCTGCGCCGGTTGTAATAAACGCAAAAATCATTCTGCAAGAGCTATGGCTTTTACATTGCGACTGGGATGCTCCGCTTCCGAATGAATTGAGTCAACGGTGGAATGCTTTTGCTTCCGAGTTCCCGCAATTAGAATCCGTTAGAATTCCTCGGTGGACGGGTCAGAGCCCTGATAATCTCGCGTTAGAAATACATGGATTCGCCGAAGCTTCAAATCGCGCGTACGCTGCGGTCGTATACTTGCGCGTTTTCCATTCTCTTTCGGAATACCGTGTTAGCTTGATCGTTGCGAAGTCGAAGGTGGCTCCCGTCAAGACTGTTAGCATTCCGTGGCTTGAGCTCAACGCCGTTGTTTTATTGAGTCGACTCGTTAAGTGGGTAATTAAGTCATTAAATATTATTCATTGTCCGATCTATTGTTGGACGGACTCCACGATCGCGTTGGCATGGTTACGCCAACATCCATCGAAATGGACTACGTACGTAGCAAACAGAGTATCCGAGGTGCAGTGTAATCTACCCTCGGCCAAATGGAATCACGTACCGTCCAAAGACAATCCGGCCGACTGTGCATCCAGAGGGTTGTACGCATCCAAATTAGTCTCACATCCGTTATGGTGGGCGGGCCCGCCTTGGCTTCAACGGCCTTCAACAGCATGGCCGCCACATAACATTGCTTCTCCGATCTCTACGGAGTTAACTAAGCAAATACACTCGGAAAGTCGAAAGTCCACTGTCTTTCACGTGGAAGGTACACCGGAATGGGATCTCCCTTATAGATACTCCTCCTGGACTAAGCTCATTAGAGTGACAGCCTACGCCTACAGATTTATATCCCGCTCCGCTAAACAAAGGAATTTTGAAGCTAATGTTGCGTTGTCTCTTAACGCGGACGAACTTAAACGCGCGGAAATGTTTTGGCTCTCATATACGCAGAGGAAGTCGTTTGACTCCGAACTCAAAGCATTAAAGAGAGAAGAAAACCTTCCGCGAAAGAGCCCACTGAAGCCTCTTAATCCGTTCATAGGAAAAGATTCCTTACTACGTCTCGGCGGGCGGTTACGGAATTCCGCTCTATCCTTCGAGGAACAACACCCTATCTTAATTCCTCGGGGTCAAGTAGCCGAGTTATTAATTGATCAAACGCACCAAAGCTCACTTCATGGAGGAACTCAACTTGTGCTTAGAACACTCCGCCAAAAATATTGGATATTAAGTTGTCGTAATGCCGTAAAACATTGCATTAGACAATGTGTCGTGTGTGCTCGTTACGCGAACAAACTATCAAATCAACTTATGGGAGACCTTCCCTCCCCTCGCGTAAATCCATCATCTCCGTTCACGCATACGGGAGTAGATTACGCCGGGCCGTTCCTTGTTACTTTATTAGTCGGTAGAGGACAAAAGACACGTAAAAGTTACATCGCCTTGTTTATCTGTCTTGTGACGAAGGCTATCCACATAGAGCTCGTTGAGGATTATTCCTTTGCGGGATTTATAGCGGCCTTTCGAAGATTCGTTAGTCGACGAGGATTGCCGCAATACCTCTACAGCGACAACGGCACGAACTTTCACGGGGCGGACCGAGAATTAAAAACGGCTTTTGACAAATTGACAAACGATATTTCGCTACGAGCCACTCTTGCAAACGACCGAGTGGAATGGCATTTTATTCCAGCCGCAGCACCGCACTTCGGCGGTCTGTGGGAAGCGGGAATAAAGAGTCTAAAAACGCACTTGAAAAAGGTAGTGGGTCCGCGTGCCTTGTCTCAGGTCGAATTTGCAACACTACTTTGCAGAGTCGAGGCATGTCTCAATTCGCGTCCCATTGCTGCGTTAAACGACGACCCGAGCGATTTGTTAGCACTCACGCCGGGTCATTTTCTCATAGGTCGACCAATAACCGCAGTACCGGAAGAATCAGTACTCGCGGTAAACAAAAATCGACTCTCTCGATGGCAGCTCGTCAACGCAATGCACGAGCGCGTCTGGCGTGCTTGGTCTCTTGACTATTTGCATTCGTTGCAGCAACGAAGCAAATGGAAGGATAAGACTGCGAGTTTTTGCGTCGGTGAGCTTGTGCTCGTAAAGAACCCACTGCTCCCTCCGAGTAAGTGGGAACTCGCTCGAGTTACACAGATCCACCCCGGATCCGACGGGCTCGTTCGGGTAGTAACGATACGCACCACGTGCTCCTCGTTCAAGCGACCAATCACGCTGCTTTGCCGTCTCCCGATTAATTGTGATAATTAATTCCGTATTATAAGAAAATTTGTAATTGGATTAAATCTAGATTTAGGGAAGAGTTTGTATTTGTTTGCAACAGCGGTTCGCTGGTCTTTCGGTTGAAGATAACTGTGTTATCCGAACGGACGACCTTCGTATAGATATCCGTCCCTATTTGCACTCGAAATTTCGAAAAAGTAAATACTTCGCACGTTCTAAGCAAGCTGTACTCATTGTTCGCGAATTTTATTTGTTGTCACATAGTCACGTCGTCGCGAAGATTATAAGGTTTCGCCCTTTCAAAGGTCATTCAGCGAGTTTAACATCGATTGTTCATTTTGACACATTATAACGACTCAAACCTGTGGAATGATTTCGCATCGGTTCGCATGCGAGGCGGGCGGTATGTTTAAAACTTGAAACAAAGCCGTCGAAAAAAGAAAAAAAAATATATATTGTTCTGGTTCCGAGTCGAAGCCAGGGACTCAAGGCTCGACCAACGATCGACTTTGTTTGGCACCTCGAGCGGACATCGACAGGTCAACCGGTCAGCGAATCGCGATTAGCCGCGCGCGTGTCACGCGCCGAGTTCATGCAAAGCTCGTGATTCCAAATCGGTTGTCTTCCCCGAGGTTAAAACGGGAGTTCAGTTAGCCCAAAGACACAGTCGAGAGCACCCAACGATAAAGCGGTATGCTTGTAACGGATCCGCGATATCCTGTCTTTCTTTGTTCTTGAAGAACGACAATCGAACCTAAATCACGTATTCAATAGTCTATCAAAAGGGTCCAAAGCGTCTGAACCAGATACAGTGTACAAATCTGATATGATACAATAAAATTACTGTTATTAAAATTAAATAAAAGGAAAAACAGTAATTATAAAGTAATTATAAGTAATTATAATGTAATTATAAGTAATGTTATAAGTAATATTATAAGTAATATAAGTAATTAAAAATAATAAATTATAAATGTAATGTTATAATAATATTAGAAGATAATAAAAAATAAAAAAAAATTTTATTTTTTATTATCCTCATCTTTTCTTGGCTCCGGGGTCCGTGGCTCATTTTTATTTCTCTAGTTTCTTGGTCCTGCGGTCCGTGGCCCCCAATAATAATGCGAAGATAATAATGTATAAAAAAATGAAAAAAATTTTTGTTCTTGCTGGCAGGCACCTGCTCTTCGTCCTCTTTGCTTCCAATCTGTAATTATAAAATATTCTATTAGTCTGGTAATTTTGCATTATAGATTAAAAAATTGTTATTAAGAATTAAATTATTGCGCTACATTTTTTAATATAAATCAGTAAACAAAATCAGAAAACAAAATTTAAAACTTACGCGAATTTGTTCCGGCAAACCCGTTGATTGGAATAGCAGCGCTGGGAGCAGCGGCGCCGGGAGCAATGGCGCCGGGAGCAGCGGTGCCAGGAGTAGTGGCGCAAGGGATAGCGGTGCCAGGAACAACGGCGCCGGAAGCAACGGCGCTGGGAACAGCAGTGCGGGGAGTAGCGGCGTAAGGGATAGCAGCGCCGGGCGCAGCAGCGCAGGGGATAGCAGCGCCGGGAGCAGCGGCGCAGTGGACAGCGGCTTCAGGTGCAGCGACTTCGGAAGCAGCGGCGTCAGGAGCAGCGGTGCCAGGAGCAGCGGCGGCAGGAGCAGCGGCGGCAGGAGCAGCGGCGACAGGAGCAGCGGCGGCAAAAGCAGCGGCGCCAGGAGTAGCGGCGCCGGAATTTGTTAATTTTAATAAATCGATTTCAAAGTCCTCCATGTCCAAATCTTCCAATCCGTCGGATATCTATAAATAAATATAAAAAGATATAAAAAGTTATGAAATAAATTAATAATAATAATAGTAATACGATTATAATACTGTAATATAATTATTAAAATAAATAAATATAATTGTATTACTAATCTTATTCACCATTGTTGCGGATGCGTTGATTCAGCGTTTCTTATTTTTTTGACGTGTTTCTTGATGAGGATTGATGCTTCGATACATCGATGCAGCATAGATAAAAATGACTGTTAAAATATATATACAAGATGTATAAGGTAAATGTCTCTATTATTATTAATTTAATTACATTTCTGTACTATTATATATTAAATGTTTTTACCATTATTAAGGGCCACGAATCTGGAGGGCCAAAAAACTGAAGAAGTCAAAATAAAAAATAAAAAATATATACAAAATATATATATAATAATGTATAATGTATAATATAATGTATAAATTTTTCTCGTCTATTAATCTATACGGGAGGTAGAGAGGGTTCCGCATTCGTTTATTCGTGTTTATCTCAAAAGTTTATTTTATTTGTGTTTATCTCAAAAGTTTATTTTATTTTATTTTAAAATTATTTATTTAAATTTTTTATTATATAGTATATTGTATTTATAGTTTATTCTTATATTTAAGATTGTTTTAATATCTCTTTCAACTGATAAATAAAATGTTGATATGCGACCATTTTATTGGTTCAATAAAATCTTAAGATAATATAAGATTGATATTGTTTATATTGTATTATTTATATTAGATGTTATAATTGAGATCGTCTTAAGATCTCATTGTCCCAATGAAATGGTCGAAACTAATGATGCTCAAGTTAAAAAAAGGCAATGGCCTAAAGGTGCCAAAGATGTTTATCTACTTTTTTTTACAAAAAATATAAATATATATATATATATATGTTATTAAATTAAAAGTACATACTACATAATATAATACTACATAATAGTACATAATATTTAACTTGTGATTAATAATTAATATATTTTCATCAATCTTTTAATATAAAAAAATATCATAATGTTATTGGCAATTTGATAAATAAGAAGACCGTCCTTTTTTAATGAAATATGACGGGGGTTGTAGTGGGTTCTTTATTTATTTATTTAATGACACTTAATAAAGAAATAGTACAAAAAAGAGTGATATCTCTAAAAAAATTACCTTTAAAAAAGGTAAAAAAGGTGCTAAATTTGCGTTAAAAACTATATATCTCCAAAATCCTACAAAATAATAATGATATCAAAAAAATTGAGTTAAGTAAAAATAAAAATTTGTAAAACTAAAAACTTTTTAAAATATTTTCATTTTATTTAATTAATTAAAGACGTTATACAAAATAGTAGTTTTAATTTTATAAATTATATATCCTACAAAAATAATAATATTAAAAATTTGCTCTAATTAAAAATAAACTCAAAAATAAAAAAATAAAAATTTGGAAAATAAATTAAAAAAAAAATATATATATAACGTATATATAATTTTTAAAAAAATTAAAAAAATTTTTTTAATTAAAAAATTTTAAGAGTTTAACAAGGCTCTGTAATATTAAATATAAATCTAAAGTGTATAAACAGGCAATAAAAGCCAAATCGCGGATGACAGTGCGTTATCCCAACAAAACTAAATTTTTTTAAAACCACCATAATCATCTCGACTAAAGAGCCAAACGCGATGTTATTGCGACAGATTAAGATAAGAAAATTTGGAAACTAAGGAATTTGAATCCTATGGTTGGGATCTCAGAAATTCCCCTTGTTCCTTCTCCTAACATCCCCTGTAAAGAAATAGACGAGAAAAATATTGGTCCGAAAGTCGGCTGAATCGCGTTTGGCTCTTTAGTCGAGATGATTATGGTGGTTTTAAAAATTGGAGAGCTGACTTATAAATATTCTTATTAAAAATTTTTTTGTTAGAATTAAATACCTGTGCACAAGGCATCAAATTTTACTTGGTCACGGTCAAGACTTAAAATAGGAATAATCTCTAGACATGAGATTTAATTCCATGCATCCCCTCTTTTCCCTTAAGGAAATAAATGCGAGAGAAAAATATAGATCCGAAAGTCGCTGAATCGGGAATCAAAAATTTTTAAATAAAAAATTACTTAGCACTGCTAAATTTTAATTTTAAAGAATACATTAATTTTAGCAAATTGTTCAATTACGCAAATTGTTTAATATAATATACTTGAATTGGTACCAAAAAGAAACCTTTTCAGGAAGAATACTATTATTCTATTCCAACCATGCACATTGCCATAAAATTGGAGTAATTTTTAATTTAGTGGATAGATGCTTCTTGCTATCATATCTACAATTTTTTAACAAAAATGTAGAATTAATTATTAATATTTTACTAAGCAACGGTTATTCTCTGGACCTCATACTTAACAAAATAAATCATAGAGTGGGATATCTTTTTTCCAAAAAAGCATAAAAAAAACAATAAAATAGTGGACTAACATATAATACAGAAAAAGAAATAATAAGAAAAAAATTATTCGTCATCCCGTATGTCAACAAAATTTCGGAAATGATTGTCTCTTCGGAAAAATCCTGGGCAGCTATTATGTAATTTTCATAATTCCGATCGGAATATCACGTTTCCGATCGGCGAGTTTCCGATCACAATTTCATTTGCATCTTTCAGTTATTATGAATCTCGTCGAAATCGGAACGGAATCGAGTTTCCGCGCGTCATTTCATACCATCAAAATCGTTGACAGCCAAATTAAAAACAAAGGTTATTGCTATTATTAAAGATTAATTATTACTATTATTACCCGGCAAACACAGTTATATCAATGTTATATAACTGCAATAGAAAATGATGTAATAGTTTATATTACAGGAAAGTAACTTATACATTACTGTTACATTATTATTTCCCACTCATAAATGTAACATGTAATATAACATGTTATATTGTAGTTATATATGAGCAACAATTCCTGTTATATAATTACAATATTACTGTAGAAATGTATACATTTATATTATATTTATAGGTTTTTAATTAAATTACATAGATATAAAGTTTTAAAAACTCTTATTATATACATATATTAAATTATATGTGTACAAAATAACTTTGGAATACATTATCACTTATTTATTATTATTATATTTGTTATTATTATATTTATTATTATTATATTATATATAATGTATGTTGCAACGTCTTTTCCTGCTCCGAAACGCCAAGTTCGGACAGGGGAGCGTTCAATTTAAATATTCTACTGATTTGAACCCTAATACGATAAAATTCGGTAACGAAAGAGTTAATTACTCGTACCTAAGTACTTTCGGTAATTCACGGTAAAGTTGGGCGCCAGGCGCATGTGAATGCGCCACGATACTAATGTGAACGGTACTTAAGGTAATTTATTAAAATTTGATATAGGGTCGCGGGTCTATAGGATGGTAGTCTGTGGTTGAGAGAAAGGTATAGAGAGGCCTTAGAACATATATTACTGGAAGGGGAATAAAGGATCGAGCCTGTATCCAAGTTGGGTGCGAGAGAGAACCACGTTTTTAAGGAAAGAGAAGGGTAGATTGTTACCTCCGTTCGCAATGCGCAAACGCGAATTAGCGAAAGCACCAATTACATTTCCAGTTTCAAATGGCGCGGTGAGCGTGACGTCACCGTAACGTCATCTACGTTTGCGCATTGCAAGCATAGATTAAAAGCTATCTTTCTCTCTCGCACCCAACTTGGACACAGATTTTTACATGGAGAACAATAGCAATTCCCCTTCCAGTAATATATGTTCTAAGAGAGAGACATACACGTGGTGATAGAATTTGACATATATATATATTTGACACTTAAGACCAGCAATGGTACATATGATTAGTATAATTGGACGATATAAATACAGAATAACATTAATATATAGTAATGCGAATACTTATTTAGTCAGCTCTTTTAATTTTTAAAGCCACAATCTCCACTTGATTCCTCTCGACCAATAGAGCCAAACGCGATATTATTGCGACAATTATGAAGGAAAGAACATTTTTGGAAAGGAATTAATATATAGATTAGCGGTATGAACAAAAAATTATAATAACAATCTCTCGGCGACTATAACGGAATGACAGAATTAACCTATTAATTGTTTATCAATAATAACGATTTTCAAATACTTTAACTAAATTTTCGACAATATTATACGAACAGAAATTATACGGAAAAAACAGAGATCGGTAACTGATATGCGGTTCAAACTTATTATCGCGGACACGCGGTACATACAGAGGTCACAATTATAAACTCAAGACATGGTGCGGTATCCAAAAAAAAGGTAACAAATAGACAACGGCAATTTCGCGACTCTCTCGCACGACTCTCTCGCCGAGTCGAAAAATGAAATATTTAACAAACCCGCGGAGAACGGCTGCACGCAAATTCCGAAAATCTAATGAGATCACATGTACAACAAAACGTGACTCTGAATACAGCGGTAAATTATAATGTACGATAATCGCTCGCGAAAACGATTGACTGTCGGCGGTACTTTTCGGAGAGGGCTCGGTTCGCGATCTCGAAGTCGGCTGGCTCCGCGGTACGATACTCAGAATAAGAGAGACCGCTCTCTCCTACACAAAAACGATACGATACTGAGAGACGCGGTACTCACGGTAATTACTCTAAGTTTTCAATACACACGGCACCGACCAACACCCATCTACGGCTACCTGAGAGGCGGCTTACAATTTTCGGCGGTGAAAGATCGTCCTTCTGTAGTGTAGTCGGAGGTCTGGAGGCACCCTCTCTCACGTGTGGCACACCGAACAGTGGAGAGCCGGGCCTCGCGCGTCTTGGTATCTTACGTGCCGCGCCGATCTCTCGCGCATTCCCTCGATGATAGGGTCGATGGCGGGGGCCTTAGGGCCTCCCTCACTCTCCCTCTATCTGGGGTAATTCTCTCGCCG